CTTGGTAGTGACTCCCCCAGAGTATCGTACTTGAACCATCCGATTGGCGAGGAAGGAGCCAGTCCATTTGAGAATAGATTCCGGCCATCATGCTCCTGCATCCTCCTCACTAATCGATTATGGAGTACCGCGTCGAATGCTCCTTGAACGTCCAATGTTATAAAAGTAGCTGCCCAACCTTGTGAATTTGCCTCTTCGATGTTTTTTTTTTTTTTTTTTTTTTTTTAAATCATTAAGTGTATGCAGCCTATCTAGCTATGACACTGACCTCTTCGATGTTGTGGACCACACACGAGACCAGATCTGTTGCTGAGCGCTTCAGCAGTGCACCAAACTATTGCTGGCCGACTTCATCATGGCTCACTGCAAGGTGTGCCATCCGCTTAGCTTAGAGCCTTTCTAACCCTTTCCCCAAACATGAGAGAAGAGTAATTGGTCTCCAACCCTTGATTTTTGTTGGATCTCAATTGTTCTTTTGAAGGAAGACAACTTCGGCCAGCTTGAAACACTGTGGATGGGTGCCAAGCAGAATACAAGCTCGGAATAGTTGGGAAATACAAGGCCCAATTGTATTCTAACATGCTTCCAGCAGGTTTACGGAGATTCCGTCTGCTCCTTGGGCTGTATTTCCGCAACCAATGGTACAGGCTCGGACTTCTTCATGTGTTACGTCCTCTTTTCATAGTATCCGACTGTTGCTCGTGACTGTAAATGGCGACAAGTTATCTGATGCCTAATATCGTGCTAGGAGAGCATCGCGAAGGATCATGGCCCGTTTTAATGGATCTGTTATCAATGTCCCATTGTGATTCAGTGGCGGAGGGATATTGGCCTGTCTGGGGTCACCCATTCTCATTAGCTTGAATACATCAGTCGGCGTAATAATTGATTCGACCTGTTGATTTTTGAATTCCATTTTCGAGGTCTTCACAACTGATCGGATCTTTTTCGCGCAGAGTACCTGTTGGTTGGGTGTTATCGCGCTTTTGTACTCGGCAAATGCTACCTTGCACTCTGGGGTCCACCACGGAGCAGATCTGCCGCAGCGAGCTTTCGGTCGTGTTCTTCCTGCATTGATTGTATTAGTGTAAGGATTCTCCTTCCCATCCTAACTTTTGTCGATAATTTTACCCTTCTCCTGATGTTGCTGTGACAACAGAACAGTTCTTGGCACTGGTTATTATATTGGTACTAGTTTAGGGCCTATGTTATGAAGAGCTTGCAGAAGGAAAGTAGGTATATGAATGATCGTTTGGTCTAAAGCTATGGAGTTCTTCATGCTTAGTTTTCTGTCACAACTACCACCTCTGGTCACCTCTAGTACCCTTAGTTAACATTAGTACCCACTCGAATCTTTAGACCCTTTAGATATTTTTACTACCCATATTTCAAACCTTTTGGTTCTCCAAATTATCTCAAGCAGACCTCTTCTCGCTCTCCAAATCCGCTTCAGTTCAAAGGCCCACGCTCCAATCTGACACTCAGTGATTTTAAAACATGAGTTTATTTGTGTCAGCTCGTATTGATACAAGACTCAAATGTGAGTCATATTAATTATCGGGAGCTTAAGGATCAAAAAATATCGATACGCATGACATGAGTACATGAGACAATCAATGGGCACCGTTGTAGAGCAAATCATACATGCATATTATCAAGTGTTTGAAATGGAGACACGGAGTGTTGTGGACGTATGGGCCCTCTATTTCGTATAGGTTCCCGACACGATCTCGTGTGTATTTATGAGGTTGGAATGGGTAATATGGTAGCGCTTCAGGCTACCTATTGGAGACATGAGCAGCTGTATGGCGTGGGCACAAGGAGGTTGTTGTGGGTTTTCTATGCCTAGAGAGAGGAGGACTATTCTCAACACCTGTCAGTGGTGTCCCCTATAAGCCTCCACCTCTCACTGCAAAGTCTGCAGAGCCGAGATTGAGTAACAAAGTCCCCACTTCGGCGAGGATTCCCAATCGATTACGCGGTCTGTATCGTCTTCATCTCCCAATACATCCCACTATCACCACTATCATGAAGCTAACCACGATCAGATCATATGGTAGGGTCGGAGTCCTACTCATCACCAACTCTTTATCATGAAGTAAAAGCCATCCGATGAGTTTCCGGAGCGTACCCAGCACCCGATACGGAGATGGCGGATTGGATCAAGTCGGCCTCGAATGTTACAAAGAAGGGATATATAGATAGAAATGCGTACCTCATGTGATCCCGGTGTCTAGACATCGCCTGGCTGGATCTGCAGTTTTTCTGAGGGCTTTCTCCCGCGCACGCAGTTTCCATTGCTGCCATTATAATTTTATTTGGGTAGAAGGTTCCGTGGAAAAGGTGGCCGAATTCCACGGGCATAATGAGCTGAATGGCTATTCACCACGGGCAACGTATCAATGATCTTTCAAGAAACATGAGAGGCAAGGAGCACTGTACAAGGTGTGGCCTGGGTCAGAGAAGAGCCCAATGTGCTAAATAGTCATAGACTCAAGTAGCACAATAAAAACACACACACATATGCCTAGATGGTATTGTCATAGCTAAATAGCTGAATACAATATGAATTAAAAAAAATGCCAAGATGGCGCCACGCTCGTTTATGCTGTGGCTTAGGCTCTGTGTCGCTTACACTTGTTCTTTTTTGTTTTTGCATCAGATTTTAATTGCGTATGCAGCTATCTAGCTATGACACAATATCAAAGAAAAGAACAGAAAAGATGACTCAATTTACAAGAAGAGCACTCATGCCTCAGATTTCATTTGCAAGTACCACTGCGAAGTTATGGTGGCTTTTTCTTCACCCCAAGTCAACCCTCATCCGTGAATACCCACCCAGGGGAACGTCTCAAAAACCCTGAGTTATCCAGACATGCCTCCATCATCTTTCAACTTTTCTCCGCGCGAAATATGGTCTTTGGTGTCTCCTTCCCAAGTGGAGTAGGCGCCCAGGCTACTCAAACTATACCAGAGAACACCACCAGGAGGCGGACCGCAACACCTTCTATCGTTTTTGCATGTTTTTATAGTGTCAGCTGCACTCTCGCAAGCGAAGTCTTGGTGCGCACAAAGCTCAATTCGTAAAACTGCTTGCCGAAGTTCGGAATTTCACTCCCTTCAAGGTTATATCCTTCCTTTGCATCATTTTTTCAAATTGACCTGATCCCTCTCACGTCCATCTCAAAGGACTATCTTCCAGATTTGTGTGCCACGCTTTGCTTCCTCCGTCGGGTATAATTGTCGGCGTGGGCGTTTATTTGGTGACCGGCTGAGGCCAGAGAAGGTCGGAGAGAGGTGTGGTCATAGGGATGAGGAAGTACCAGGTCGTACTTGTAGACTTGATGAAGCTTAGTTGAGAATCGGACTCTTTGGGAGTGAAAGATTGACATGGTGGATTAATTTGAAATTTTGCCTCGTGGGCCAACTTCTTTGATATTGCGAAATTTGACTGAACTTGGCTCTGGGAGAATATTTCACTCCCAGGTTCGTAGAGGACACCGCGTACAGGTGTTTAGTCTTGCCCTCCTACACTTGTTCTTGTAGCGCACATTTCCCACAGTTTTAACGGTAATCCGAACATGACACTCTTTTAGTCAACTTCTACTTTCGTTCCATGAATATTGCGCCCATTTCACTGCGCGATATTTCCAATATCAAGTCCATTTACTTCTTAGATAGATCATGCGTTCACCTTTGGATGTCCATTTGATCCTCAGATAGTCTATATACATTCACTCACCACCAGAATATACGTTGCACATGCTTCTATATAGATACACTGTCCTACCACAATACTTATCCATCTAACCTTGTAATTATAACAGAATTAAATTCGAAAGCAGATGTAAAAATGTCTAAAATCGTCGGCTTTTCAATGTTGTACCTATCCTTCTCACGCGAGTCCTCCATCTCGATTTGCTACGAACTACGCAGCCTCAAAGATCAATCAAGAAGTTGTTTCAATCGCATACAGGGGCTTGCTTCAAAGGAGAAAACTAATTTATAATTTACAAGCTTCAATCATGATTTACGGGGGAATATTGCTTAGATTGGGCTTTACAGCCTGAGGATAAACAGGCTACTTTGGTATGAAATGTGAAAGGAAATTGGACACTGAAGGGCTTGCGTGCACTAGCATTTTCGAGGATATTCGACCTCGAGATGTTTGTGAGCAAAGTGAACTAGGTTTTAGACAGTAATACTCATACTTTTAACGTAGGATACACCACTTTTGCATCACTGAATGGTGGGGTGTTTAAATCTCAGACATTACGATAACCATAGGTATGTTTCAAGCTGATGCCGTAGAGATTGGTCTCTTGAAGTACAATATCGTGGAATTCAGGCTAGGCGCAGGGCATCGAGACTGAAATTTGGGATTGACACGTTTTTTCTGGTTCTTTTACATTTGCAATTACAGTAATATTGAGTCTTTCGGGATCAACTGCGCATGTCACGTCAAATTATGTGCAGATCTTGTGCCTAATACGTTAAAATTACATAAATTAAAGTATGAGAACCAACCACGAGTCGTGCAACCCATCCCAACCACCAAAAACATAACTCGTGACCTTGGCTCACGAGCCTTTGGCAAAGTGCTCGCTTCATAAATGAGAAGAATTTCAGGGACAGTGGATGAGGTATGATTGGGCGTGGAGACGTGGAGGGAAAACATAGTGTCAGCTACAACTGCACCGCTAATGAAGCCTGGCCATTCTGTGGAAATGAATTGTTACAAACGCATAGAAACTTCCATCTCTTTGATGTATTTACGGCACAGCCAAGACTTCTTCAAGCATCTGGAGCAATAAGAGGTAAGGGAAATTTAGGAAACTCCACACATCTCAATCTAAGATTTGCCCAGATTAATTGGCAAAATTTCATGGCAAAAAGATGGTCGGCCTCGAATATAAGAGTTCTAGCAATCACTCAGCAGATGACGAGAATCCAGCTTCTATCATCCCGCATATTTCATCAAGTCTATCCAATCCACAATCATGCGCCTCACTAGCATCGCCGTCATCTTGCAAAGCGCGAGCTTCTTCGTGTCAACATTCGCTGCCATCACTACGGGCCACATATGGGAGGTAAATAAAGGATTTAATTGCGACGGTCGCGAATTCTTTCATGATGAATACAATCAAGCAGAAAAATCCCAAATATCCGATCCTGTTAATTATTTAGGCTGGAAGATGATTAATATTTACCAAAAACTGTTGTCTGACGAAGAAGATGATAGAACGGTTGCCTTCCACGACGCTTATGATGGTGTCAATCAGTTTTTCGAGCTTATTAGATTGTCGCAAAGTAAGGACTCCAGTAAATTGACTTATCTCATCATATAATCATAAATAGAACAGCGAATTTACGAAGGCTATTTTTTTAATTCTTACATACTTGTCACCAACCAAAATAATAAAGTGAATGCTATGATAAAGAGGTCGATATATTATATAAACAACCAACCGACCGAACCAAAACCAGAAGGATTGTACACTATTTGCGAAATCACGGTTTGAGCTATTCTGCTCAGTATCATGCAGATAGGTGGATCAGGGATTATTTTCAAATTTATTTGCTTGACTAGAGAGACTCTCCCTACCGGCAGCGGAATTGTGTTATGATAACAAGGTCATGAGAAGACAGAGGAATATCTGAAATGGATGCAGATGATTATGGGTGTGCAGATATAATTGATGTAGCAGTAATGCGACGATGCCTTGGATTGGACAGTAGTAATATTATTCTCATCATGTCCGCGGAAGTATTGATTCCTTATATAAACATTCAACCCCCAGTCCTGATCACGCACTCATCACAGGTGCTTCCTACTCCTGTCACAGTAACCACTTCCATAGCCACTACCAATATCTCCTAACATAACATACCATTGATACTGGTTGCTAGTGTGGAACTTCTGGGATCACAGAGCTACAAACCATCGTCACATTATATGCTGTTGCCCCTCGGTAGCCATCAGAGTGATGTGTACCTCATTCTAGACGCATTGGTCTACCAGGCAACGCTCGGAGGTAGGGATGTTGCCAGAGTGATTAGGTCCACAGCTGTGCTATCAGTGCTATAATATCACCCAGCTTCCTGCGCCCGAGTATCCAAGTGCCGCGATAGTGGAAGCTCGATGAGACTCGATCGGAGCTTATCCATGGTATTCACAACAAAATGGAGCACGACTTCGGACAGGTTGAGTCGGAATTACACTAATGATGTGATCCAACCTAGGGTTATTTTTCACGACTCAAATCACTTGAATCACTAGGTTCATTATGCTGAGGTTGGGAAATAGATCACTCAATAGCTGCAGAGAGCATAGTTAATGTAACGGATTTCCTGTACTTCATGTTTGTAAAAAAGGTAAATTCTTTGTGATACTATTCACGTGCGATGTCCGTAATTTTCCTCACCCTGAACATGAATATCATCCTACAGTAACAGCTCGCTATCACGGCCAACGCCCGTGTTTTGAATCATGCCGCGCCTACTTGTAGATAGTGAGTGCTATGGCCTGAGGCACAAATACCAACCGACATATTCGGCCACAAAATATCAACTTCAGAGATTAATTACAAGACCATCTCCAAGGCCGGTACTAGGCGGGAAATAATTCTTAGCTTGAGGGAAGTGTCGGAATAATTTATCCAACTAGAGTTATTTGGAGTGGGTGGTTATTGTAATTATTTGACTAATTCCCTTGATTTATAAAATCTGACATTCGGATAATGCATTATCCGTATGTAAGTTGGATTGCATTTTCATAGCATCAAAGCAGCGGAACACGAACAGCCATGGATGCCCATTTCTTCTGAATAAAATTTTGAACTACTTACACGGGTATTCTTATAACTTTAGGTGAACTAATAGACTATCAGTATATGACGTTTGTCATGTTGATATGTGATGTGATATTGCTAGTCAATGACCGGCTCGGCGCGGGCAAGTGCATGTGCACGTCGTGCGCTGATGTTGTGGTTATGAGCTGTGCGGAAGTCACATAGCGCAGTGAAGAGGAGTGGATGATGTTAAAATTGTTTGATGATAGTGAATAGACTCATACAATATTTTGCTGTGGGTATATGGACAGAAAGTGTAAGACTAAACCTGTGTCCATTTATTGTGGGTACATCTATGAAACTATATACATGCTCGCCTAACCAGTACACTAGTGATGTATGCTGTGGCCTTGAGCCACACACGTTGCCCTAGCCTCGACTACCTCGTTATGTCATATCATAATAGCTGACCATGGATGCAACTGCTGACGCTCTAAGTCTCGGACTCGGGAGCGCCAGATTGAGTGATTGCAGGGCAACGATTGGGGTAGCGACGTGAAGAGCCTACTGACCTCGCGCACTATCGGAACTACACAACTGCTTCCGCTCCTGAGTAATGGACTAAGGACTGCGGAACTAAGACATTGTATGGGAACGATTGGAGCGACGCTGTGGTGTGTATACAAGCCACAGGCGCGAACCATGGACTGGATTGCTGTCGTTCCTGAACAGCTAGGTTCAGGATTGCTCAGCTGGGATATTACAAGTAAGTGATTGAGGTATTGCAGCGACGCGTACTCGGACCGCGCGCGCCAGCCACCGGAATAGTAGAAGCCTCTTGAGGGTACTGGTAAGTAGTTGAGACAGTTATGGCTCGGGACTCACGATATCAGATTCACAGGGTGATCAATATCGAAGTCTAGGATAAGTAGAAGGTTGTCTAGCCTTTCTTATAAGAACTACCATGCTCTATATACATTCTATGCTATTGCCCTGAGTGGCGATCCGGTATTACCTGACTAGTGGTAAGACGTCGCTCGTACCTCGACTCCAGCTCCCGATTATCTACACCTTCAGGATCCACACTCTCATGAGAGGTAGACTCATGAGCTGCAGAGTTCTACCTAGGCATGCTGTTGGCAGTAAGTCAGGAGAGAGAACGTAGACAATGACATGGGTCATATTAGAGTGTATAAGTAGTCTATGTTCTGTCTCGTGAACAGAATTGGAAAAGTAACAGACCATCCCAGCAATCATCCTACCAAATATTAAGCCATCTGAACAAATATCGTGACACATTCTAAGTGACTATGCTCCCGTTCAACTCATAACCTTAACACACTTGTCACAAATTCTGTTCTGAGATGGTAAGGAATTGGTAAGATGATTGTCGGCAGGTGTCCAATACTTTTCTAATACTGTCCATGAGACAGAACATAGATTACCTATATACTCTGATATGACCCATGTCATTGTTTACGTTCTCTCTCCTTACTTACTGCCAACAGCATGCCTAGGCAAAACTCTGCAGCTCATGAGTCTATCTCTCATGAGAGGCATTCGCTATTCCGGTGGCTAGCGCGCGCGGTCCGAGTACGCGTCGCTGCAATACCTCAATCACTTACTTGTAATATCCCAGCTGAGCAATCCTGAACCTAGCTGTTCAGGAACGACAGCAATCCAGTCCATGGTTCGCGCCTGTGGCTTGTATACACACCACAGCGTCGCTCCAATCATTCCCATACAATGTCTTAGTTCCGCAGTCCTTAGTCCATTACTCAGGAGCGGAAGCAGTTGTGTAGTTCCGATAGTGCGCGAGGTCAGTAGGCTCTTCACGTCGCTACCCCAATCGTTGCCCTGCAATCACTCAACCCGGTGCTCCCAAGTCCGAGACTCAGGAGCAGCAGCAGTTGTATTCATGGTCAGCGTATGATGTGCATATGCACCTGAGGTTCCGAGCGCGCGTTGTATACTTAGTATACAATGGATGTGGGTGTAAGATTGGGGTGATATAACGTGGTGTCTTGTGGCTCCTAACTACAACGTATCTTGTGTAGAGCTTGAGACTAATACGTGAATTCTATATCCTCTAAGTGTAGGATATCTCTACGTATATATATATCAATCCCTCCTTACCCCTCAATACTGAAGTGATCTATAATTATGATTATGTAATGTTATTGTGCAACTTCCCATAACCCTGTAAGTCTTTTCCGGATCCACAACACTCCCTTTCCCATACCTGAGCTATCCTCAGCTCACTAAAATTAAAATATATTTTTTTCAAAATTAACAAATGAAATATTTTATAGGCCAGCAGCGGCCTTCAATCTCTTACGGTCCTGGTCGAGAAGTTTCTGACTGCCGTACCACAAGCTTCTTACTGGGTGTCCTTGTCGCACATATGCGGGGAACAAGTTACTACCATTGTATTTGTTAGCTAGCTTGCATCCTGCGGGCGGGATCAACGAATAGGTGTTTCTCTGGTGGCAATTTGATATCGCCCATGGGCCGTCGTAGAATGGCTCGAATAAGTGTCTTCGTTGTCTTACTCGAAGTACCCAACCACCTGGTGCATTTGTCCGTATCAGTGCTTTTTTCTCTTGTAGGTGCGAACGAGTCTGATCGCGGACGGCCTTCATGCTAGCGACGTAAGACCTTGCAATGGGTGCCGCATGTGACTTTACAAGTTCGGCGGCCCAGTCATTCCCTTCTCGAAGTTTTGGCTCTCGAGTGTATTCCGTGTATGCCCATTCTTCTTCCGGTGGTTGTGTTCCGAACAAGAGGACGTAGGGGCTATACCCGGAGGGGGATATCCTTCGATTGTACACCATCACTGCATATGGGAGTACCTCCTCGGGGGATTTTATCGAACCGTCTAAAAGAACCCTAGCTAGAATGGCTTTGAGCACGCCATTTGCTTGTTCCTCTTTGCTGTTGCTCTGCGGCCTCATGGGGGTCGAGTGTGTGACGGCTTGTAAGCCGGTAATTGCCTGAAGCCTGCGCTGTCTAACGCAGGCTTAGCATGAAACAAGGAGGGCCTTATAAGTGGCAATACTAATATTGTAACACGTCCGGGGATGGGGCACGAGAATGTGATACGAGTAGGGGATATGAGTAGGGAATACGAGTAAGGAATACGGATATACAGATAGAAATCTGTGTCATTAGCTGGGATAATAATCATGTATAAGGTAACTTTTATTATCCTCTTCAATCTGTAGTTCACCATAGATTGAAATTAAAACTACCTCTGACCATAAGGTTGACCAAGTGCCTATGCTTAGACTGTGACAGAGTGGCTGACTTTGATCTTGTATCGAGCGTGGAAATTTTGCGCTTCTAGGCCACTGAAACATCCAGCGTTATCACTGATGAGTTGCTTTGGTGCTCCGAAGCAATTGATGATGTGCATCAACAGTGGTACAGTGTTCTGGAAGTTGGTGCTTAAAACTAATCGCGATTCTAACCAACCCGTTGAATATTCGACCGCATGCAACAGTATCTGGGGTCCGATCTGTGTGTGGTTGATTCCCCAACGTGTTAGGGGTGGGGCTGGATGAATAGGGGTTAGGCTTCCTGGTTCATTCTTTCTGTTGCCCCGTCAGTTTGAGGATGATAGGCGGTGCTTAACCTCTGTTCTATTCCAACCAATTCACATAATTGTCTCCAGAATTTACTTGTCCAGTTAGTACCTCTATTGCTAGTCAAGGCTTTCGGGAACCCATGAT